TCCCCGCACTATGGTGAACAGTTAAACCTCCCGTGAAATGAAGTCGACTGGATGTACACTCTGCTCCCCTAATTGATTGGGCCAACATCATCGTCCTTAATGGTACCAGCGGCCGAAAACCATCAAGTGCACTAATAACGGTCTCGACGAACAAAACACTACTAGCATCCCACCGCCAATCAGCTCAGCGAACCGAGTCCATTCCGTTCACTAAGTAGGTCCACAAAAGCATTAGACGTTCGAGCCAGAGAGAATAAGTCACAAAACCACTCAGATTCTCGCAGTAATGCGCCCAAACGCACTGAGACCGTTTGCACACTCACCCACCGCTCGAAACGACACTTACTAGACCAACGAATATGGGTTTCTATTCTATTTCATGATAAGCCCAAGCTCCACCCGCGCTAAGGGGTTGAGGCTACTTCATGCAACGCTGAACCCTGGCGATGTTGAAAATGCTATTGAAAAGCCTTACCTCCTCAAATGAACCACATCCCAAAGGACCCACCTTGACATACCTCGGCCTGAAAAAGTTGCAAGCAGGGGGTTAGGCCCCATCATAATCAAATCTGACAGAAACAAAAGTAATCCTCATCCATGCGGTCCCGGAGCTGGACAACCCCAAAACACGGTCGACCATCACCATGACTACAGTAAATGGGAGTACAATAAGGGGCTACTACGGGCGGATGACGTCCTTGCCACCGAAGCGATTCAACTACAGAGGAAGCGTACCACGCATCTTGAAGTTATTCCGATGTCATCTCAAATGGTCACCGAATACTCCAGGCACATCAACTGCCAACCTGCATCACCAGGGCTCCGACTCTGGTGTGCTGATGGGATGTTCCCGCAGCTCCTGACGGACCCACTCAACAAGAGCTCCAGATAGTTCAGTGATTAAAGAGCAGTCTTACTGGTCAGAAAACCCATGGTTTGAATCCAACACCGGCATTTCGACTGCTTCTGTCTAAACTTGAGTAACCTGGCAGTACCTGAGCCCTCGTACTTTCTTCTGGTGCCATGACAGCTAGCCACCGAAAGTGTGCTACAGCTGAACGACAACAAGATTTAACCTGTGCTGAAATTGCAGGAGTCCACCAGTTGTACTGTCTAGTCCTAGGCGACTCTTCTCATTGCCCATATTTTGCACACTTCCGAAGGAAGCCTGCACTCCCAGGTCCATTAATTACACTGACGCCCAAGGGCTCTCTACATCAAGCATATTGAATTGATCAGCCATCATCATCTCTGGGGTCTCACTGATGCACCTGAAACCTGACTTCCACCAGATACCCATAACACTGGGTCACCTTTTCCTGGTCTTTTGTTAATCAGGAGAGACCCATGGTCGGAAGTCGAAGTCGTGGTCATGTACGATAGTAACTTCCTATTTGGCCCTAATGTTCTTCGAATCTTTCTGGTTGAAGATGCGATTCTATGCAGTCTTCTGCTCAGAGGTGAGCGCAATTGCAATCAATTGGTGCCTTTCGTGACGCCACCTGTCTTAGACGTGCCCATATCCTCATAATTATGGACTTCAACGACCCATTGCTTATAGGCTGTCCCTCCAATGATATCGACCACAAAGATACCTTGCTTGAAAGTATGTGGCCGTTCCACTTTGGAACCACGCCAAGCAATCATCAACAGTGAAACCGCGTACTTGTTGTACATTACTTCTAGCTGTCGGTTTCGTAGACCGAGAGGGCAGCTATGCATTGAAATCAACAACTTGGATACACGAGCGCCGCTTAAGAAGTGACCAGTCCATGTCTGAAAATGTCTGACAGTTTGGTGCGTCTCGGAGTCCTTATCCAGAGAGATGTCAATGATCAGCTGGTAATGGCTTTCATTCATAGTTGCCTAATCATTATTTGGCCTTTCTTGTCTCGTTTCCACCCTACACGTGGTTGTGCGCAAATCGCTGTTTGAGGAAATCAGTCAACTGGCAAGCGGAGCACGTGGCTGAGCCACCGCAATCTATGAATTGTGATCAGCTCATTCATTGCGGGTGGGTTATTTCTTTCGAAAACCGTTCGAAGTGCTTCGTCATGACTCCCAATGTACCGATGGTCGAACACTAGATTTTTGATGCAGCGCGCAGCATCCAGGTTCCTGACCCCATAATAATACGGAGCACACCGTAGCACTGCAAACTCGGCTCCTGACGGATCAGCTTATGCAACGCCTACGTTACCGTGATGCAGTTTTCCAAACGTTGATCTGGCTTTCGCAATCCGGATGGAAATATCATCTTTGGTGAGACCACTGAGACTGATACAGATACACAAGTAGACAAACCTGTCACATAGTCAACCCGATACCGAGGTTCCAACGTTCATCCGTATCCAAACCAAAACCAACGTGCAGTTTGGTGCGAGCCAGTGGCTGGATCCTCATGGAACACATCACTAGACAGACTGGGGACCAGACGAACTACGACGGTTTCTCCAACCACCACATGTACCAACAGAGAAAACTGAATCAGAACTAAGAAACGACCTGTCAAACGGGGGAAGACTGGTGTTGCTGTGGGGAAACCTATGGCAGGGCTATTGAGTCCCTCTAGCCCAGAAAGAAAAATTTCCCGATGTTTATGATACTTTGTACAAGCCCGTCAAAGGCCCTAGACATGTCTGCACTGCGGACAACGAATGACCTTGCAAGTACGCTAGAGGAAACACCCCTGCTTCGGCAGCACATGTCCACCTTTACATGCCTATCTTTTCTTGGAAATACATTCCCTAATGGGGGTTCGAAAACATAGCATTTGCCCAAGCGGCTGTCGAATACAAATTAAAAACCCTTCGAAACGATGCTGTTACCGGCACCGATAACGTCATTCACAACAGTCCCCTTCCTGACGAACGACCTGGAAGAAACACTAGCCAATGGTAATCACTAACCACTCGAAACGTCATGTCCTTAAATAGTGGAAAACCCGGACGCTCACGACAGAAGGTCCGGTTCAACACATTACAAGCCAACCATTCTTCTTCCCGTCTCAACTAAAATCGTGGCCGATCAATTGCAGAAATGCCTCGTACGTCGTATGTGCAGCATAGACAGAAAAGGGGATTCCGTCTAACGAACCTCTTGCCAGCTAGACGCATGGACCGTAAACCCTGACAAAGACATCGAGATGGACGTTATTTTTCTATGCTTTTCTACGAGTTTCAACCCGAAAGACGCTGCGTGCATCCACGGTTTTTCATCACAACGAACCCAAGGCCACCTACAAGACAGAGCCACTACGGTTCAGATTAGCAGAACCCTCTACCATGCCCAAGTGTAATACCATAGAGATCAGTGGCCGCTTCCCTCCCTAGATAGGTTGTCATTGACTTCAATGACAACCTATCTACCTTTGTAGTGCACTACTCATAAGGTTGCAAATGAGTGTACATTCGCTAACCTATCTACCTGTTAATGATCCCCGTGCGACCTGCCTCCCGACAGTCTGAATCTCTCAAGAATAGTCCGCACTATTCGAGACCAGTAATTTCTGACATCTGAACAGCCTCTAATAGGCCAGCTGCAAGTTATCCAATATTCAGTAGCGAGAAATGGCCTTTGCTCTCATCGATGCTCCACCTCCCGACTTTACCACCTGAAACCGCATGAACTCTAAAATCGACAGTACTTGAAGGAACTAAGAGTGAGCGTATGGACGAATTCCAACAGTGTCAACAAAAAGACCAAAACAGCCGACAGTGTTCTCTCGGGGCATAGGGGTGACAGCTACTCTCACATCTTGACTCAGACCACATATAAAAAATCTCTCAGCTGTAGCACTCTTGCGGTGCCTAGCCACCAGAAGGAAGCTTGAGGGCTGGAATACTGCTGGGTTGCCCAAGCTTAAACAGGGAAAGCCGGGATATAGGGATCAGGTTCGAACCACGCACCTTCCGGTCAGTAAATTCGTGCTCTGGCTACTCTGTCGGTAGACTCATTTGGTCATACGCACTCTAAGCATAGAGGTCAACCTACGAACGACACTTTGTCGCTGTGGTTGGGTTTGAGCGCTGCAATGATCCCACTGGTTAGACTGGCCGGAACTTCGTTCTTCGAAGCGCAACCAAGACAGGAAATCCAAAGGGGAGCAGACAGATCAAGAGTAGCACAAAAACGCACGAGGCGGTCAGAGGTAGATTCTGATTGTCTTCTGCAATGGGTGTGAATGCAGTGCTTCCTCCAAACAACCGGCGTGTCCATATTCGTGGAAACATCCATGTTCCCTTCTACCGAAGAAGGACGGGTTAGAAAACGTCAGCCCTAGAAACTGCACACTAAGATTGCCAAGTGGTTGATCGTAACTACCGCCTCACTATTCAATATGGCTGAAACACTGTTAAAACTAGTATGGGGTTGCACCCAGCTGCATAACGAGACACTATTGCATTAGCCGCTATGCCCTATGGTTAGGCGAGTCACCTGCAGCCGAGTTCAGACTGTTGAGGGGCGGATCTACAAAGAATACTCAAATAAATAAGGAGAATACTCAGCTGTCTGCTGTCTCGTGGTCAGACTTTTGAATCACAGGCCGGGGCCATGGTCCCCGACGAAAACCCTATACTATCCTGCCGCTTCGTGGGTTAGTCCGAACTGGGTACCTCTAACAAATCTGCCTGGGAAAACGGAAAGTATCATCTGCACCCACAGCCCGGTCTACCGATGTCTCTCCGCAAACCTTTCTCACCACACGAGGAAACGTTGCCTGGTTATGACTCTGTTATCTGACCTATGTGCCCTACATTTATGGAGTTATGATTTAAAAGTGACCAGACGATGAAAAGGAACGCGCAACCCGGTGCAAGCAGGTCACTCCAAAGGCTTCGATCTTTCCATAAGACGAACACCTAACGTTAACTGGCCAATTCTGAAGGTTAAATTACCCACTTGGTCCTAAAGCAGATAACAAGGCGATGTACACAAAAAAGTAAGGGTTCAGCACACGTGGAAATGCTGCTAATATCAAACTCGAAATATCCACTTACGTTCTTCACTGGGACTCAAACTCAGAGACCCAAAATCAACGGGAGATACAACGCGCTCGTAGTGATATGGATTAATACACACGGAATCCTGCTTTAGGTCAAAACCGAAGGCGCAGAATTTGCAATGCCGTAGCTCATTGCGATGGAGATCAGGCCAACGCCATATACGCGCGTAGATGAGGTGTGGTAGACATTTCCTGCCAGCAATCTAATCGGAGATAAGGTAGCAATAAGAACGAACCTGCATTCGCCCATCCAGTGTACGCTGAATCGTCACACACTTGCTAGGGTGGGTTCCATTGGTTGTGATAGCTGTGATCAAAGAATCCAAGTCATCGTGCTTCTCCTTTAACTTCTTGATAAGGCTCTCAATAGCCCGCATAGCAAATTCCTTTGGTTCACCATTCTGGCGGTAACACATAAGGCTGTGAACAACTCCTCGAGTAGCATCGATTTTCGGGTGCCCACTCCCTGGGCGCCCGGTTGTCGGCATGGCACCGTCATTAAGCTTCGCGTCTGAACGCAGATTGTTCGACTGAAATTGGAGTTAAGTACTCGTCAGGCATCAGATGAGGGACGGACAGCGTACAAATTAACTTATATGACAAAAGACGCACCACAACCAACATCAATCTCGAAAGCAAGCCCCGAGACCAGAACGCGCGCCCAAATTTTTCGGCAAATTGTAACAATAGCTCTAGTTTGACCTTTCGGTGACGGGGAAATTCGTGGTTCGTAGTGCAAATTGGGGGTTGGTATGAATATGCACAACATAAAAGGATATTGTACGCGAAATCAGCCTTCACACCGACGATAAACTTCCGGACAACCCCATAGGAGTCGTGGATTCATAGGCCACGAGAGTGTCGGTTGTTGAGCCTAAGGGGAATCAGGTGTGCCAGATCGAGTGACCACCAACAAGAATGTTACTCCGGTTTAGGCACATATAGTGAGCACGGAACCACCACCATTTATTCTTAGAAGCGATTTCGAAAATACTACAATGTGCATCTCTTCTTTTCATCACTTAAACCGCAACATGACAATTCATGAAATGCTGTGGCGTTTTGTACATTTGTTTTACTTCCATTATAACACTACGTATTTCATCAGTTGCATAATCGTTTTTTGTTTGAATACGAAAAACTACAAAGACGCACACTTGTACGATTTCATATAATACAAACGTGGTCATGTGCTTGGACTCTCTCTTCTGATTTCGCCCGCGCTTGCAGCGGTCGTTCACGAGTCTCATGTAGTAACTCTGGTGCCGAAACATTTCAGACATCTTCGGAATCTATTATGTGGGAACTGTTCAGAAGAAGACTTGTGGACCAACATGATTGGATTATTGTTTATTCGCTGACCTGGGCCAACGACGAACTATTTTAAAGAGAACAATTTTTAGTGAGTCTGTTCCATCTGATCTCTTTATTTTTGCATACCCAACCTGGCGTCATTACTTTAATTTCTTTGCCACACACTCGTGGTAAACTCACTTATTGGGTAACCAAACCACCACGCTACTCAGGGGGCGTATCTCTCCCATTGCGTATGCTTGGTTGGCCACAAACTGATGAGAAAATAACACGGGGCGATTTTGCGACAGTTTTGCGTCCTAGAACTCCGTGTAACGCATCCCAGGGCAAACGAAGTTAGGCTGCATCAGATGGTGATAAATTTTGTCAATTTGTTCGGAAAATATTTCTCCACAGATTCCATCGCAGTGATCCAGAAAGAGGCGTCTTCCGTACCAGTTTCTGGGTTTGGGGACCTCAAATAGGCTAATTCAAGGCCTGGTTTCTTTATCAAAATTCATGCAAATTAGCGGAACGTGTCCTGAAGTGAAATGTATTAAAGCGCCTTACTACCAACAGCGTTACAACACGCGCATCACCACCTCAGAATTAAAAATATACACGTTGTTGAAGGCAGTATGATTTACGCAGTCATGTCGGGATCATTAAATGTACGTAAGGGACTGTGATGGGTTAGCTGATGAGAGTTACAAATAAGGGAAAATAAGTCAAAATTGATACAGGCTACTCCCTCTCTCTGCTAGCAATGGAAATTTGCTCAAAATTTCATTCTCAGGTCGACATCGTTGCTTGATCTGCGATGGTTATTTCGCAACTCTACCACTTACTGATGACCCCCAAACTTTGGAAATCAACGTTAACCAGCATCGAATAAGGGTTAACTCAACGGAGTGACGTTGGTCCACTTTCTCTATCAAACGGTTTCACTCATACTATTTTCATGTTTGATCGCTTTACCCGCTGGCCAGTAATTATATCCGGATACTTCAGCTGAGTTGGTAGCTTTTCGTTTGTGCAGTATTTGGGGAGTAACTTTGGAATAACTACGTTACTGCCGATCGAGATTCACAACATCAGCACGATCTTTCCCGCAAGTTTCCTACACTGTTCGGTTTCCGTCATATTTCGATCAGCGCGTATTACCCAACGCTCTGGTTGAACGTTTCCATTGCTACGTCAAGGTTCCACAGACTGCTCAAATTCACG